TCCTGTAGTCTGTTTTACCTATTTTCAGCCCTTTATTGGTATCTGTATGGGCTTGTTGACAGTGTTAGTATAATTGGCAGATGGTCACTGCCTGCATTATATGGTAATTGAAAAGGCTTTGTTGTTGCAAAAATTTTGTCTGGTGTCGATTGTGTATTGTGATTTCTCTCCAGGTTGGAAAGTTAGGACCCAGATGATTGATTTTCCTAAATTTTATTAATTGATTAAGGGCGTTTCCCCAATGACGTTATTATTTGTATTGTCAAAAATCCTATGTCTGGCGCAAAGTCTCCTAAGATGTACATCGGATGACTATTGTTAGCCAATTTTAATAGGTTCTATAGGTAGCAATAATTACGTCTCCTTTGAGTTGTATTTATTTTATTGCTAGAAATTCATCCTGAAGTCATCAATTAGTTTAAATTTTAAGTTTCCTTTAATCCTCTGTTTATCGCTACTCCGTCATTTTTCTCGCCCGATTTATTTCTTTTGTTTACATAATAGTTAAAGAGTTTTATGTTGTTGTTTTCTGTCTCACCGTGACTGTTTATTAGTATAATGTCAGGGTCAATTTCGCGATATATATTACTTAGGTTAATTCTCTCGGTCTTCCAGTTTCTTACGTTGTGTTGTATTATTCTTAAAGTTCTTACTGTTTGTCTATTGTCCATTATTTCTTATACTTGGATTGTGGCAGTCAGTTGGAGTGGAGACCTATCATCCTGTTTCCCGCTTCTGACTCTTCTATACTCTGACGGGTCTACTATTTTAAAGTCTTTGGCCGTAATCTTTAGTTTGTCCGTAGTAATTAGTGACCAGACATAATCTTCACTTAGGGATTTTTCTTGATATGTCCACTTGTATATCCCTCCTTCACAGTTTTTACTATTGTCCCTCCTGTTGGTCTCGATGTTGGGATTCCATGTTTTGTTGTAGTGATAACTTTTAATCCAATTTCTTCAGCAGATTCAGGTTGTATATTGTGATCAGTTTCCATCTTATCTTCTCTCCTCCTACTCCTTTGTCTGTCCTTTTGTTATTTCTATCTTCTCTTTGTCACTTCTAGTCATTTGTCTGGGATCTCTATCAGTCGCTTGTGTTCCTTGTGTATCAGCTGTTGCTCCTTGCTCAAACCTTTGTTCGTCTTGATGTAGTCTTTCTCTCAGTTCGCTTGCATATGTTGTCTGAAATAGTTTTTCGGATTGTGGATTCTCTGGAAATATCATCTCTGGTAGGTTATTTAATTTAAACATTTTCCTTAATTCTCATTGTATGATCCGGTGCAATGATAAGCTGTGCAATGTGCATGGATCATACTAATCATTACCTTATCATGTATTGGCTCACTTAGCCTAATACTGTGGATTCTGGTCTATGAGCCTCTTCGACTGCTCTCGCTATTGAGTATGTCGTATCCTTCTTGTCTTGTTCCTTTTTCCTTGTTTCTTGTTCCTTGTACTTTATCATGTGTTTTTTATTGGGCATGCCATTGCTAACGTCCTATGTCCTATGTATGCATTCCCGTTTCTCTTACAGTTGAGACAGCCAACATGTGTATTCTTACATTCAGTGTAGGTATGGTCGTCGCCTGCACAATCTGAGCAGTACTTTTTTCTTTTTCCGGACAGTCTCTCGTTGTGTGTTCTTCATATTTGTAGCAGGAGAAGCAAGTTTGCAGACTGATGAATGTCTCCTTCTTTATTTGATATGGTGTGACTGACATGTTGAATATTAGAAAGCCCTGTTGTAAAACTTTCTCAGCCATTGACACTTCTTCAAACATGAGTATAGTCCTTTATCTTAATGACTTCTTCAATCTTCATCCACCTATTTTGGCGTTCCAGTTCTTCTTTCAGGTCTTCCTCCCGATCTCTTGATCGACTTGACGAACAAAAACTGATCTTTTTGCTTTTGTTCTGGTGGCATGACAACAATAAGGCCTTCATTGTAAAATATATCTCTTGCTTCTTTTGAAAGGATTTTATCTGAATCAAAGTCATCTTTACAGATTACTTTAAAAACCTTCATTGGTGCTGAATATTCTAGTTAGTGGGACTTGCAGTTTGTTGTAAGTGATTTCTGCCACTTTTCCCTTCCAATAGAGTGTCCCTTATCTCTATGTTTTATTCTAATGCTAGTTGTCATCTTCTTGATTACATCTAATCCTACCTATAACACAGGGCTCCTGCCTGGGCAGTGACCCTCTTGGACGGGCGTCCCACCCAGGTTACCTGTGACTATAGTAATATCTAAAAAGTTGCCACCTACCGGTGACCCCGGACAAGGGGTGCCCTGCACTATCACAGGTTCCCTTGCCGGATCGACCGTTCAAAGAACGGAGTGCATGAGGGGATGAAAAAGGAAAGAAGAGGACTTAGAGTAGAAACAGCCTACCTACCACGCCACGTTCGGTCAGCCAATCAGAGCACCGCAGTAAACGCCACCGGGGCACCACTGATTGGCCAATCCAGGACGTAGACGCAGTCAAAATTTTTCCAAAAGTTGGAATTTCCGTACAATCTGTGATGGTAATTACACCGTCACTATGTTGAGTAAGTACAATCACTAGGATTGAGTGTCACAACAAAGTTGCAGACTCAAACATGCAGCAAAAGAATCAGGTCTTCGCAGCTCCGTGTCTATTTTACTTAGGCTAGCATACCTAAGTTAAAGCAAACCCCTTGCCAATACAAGAAGGAAGAGGATTTCTTATAGTCTAATAAACAATTCATCATGACCAAATACAGTATCTAACACAGGGGGTCGGGGCGCAGCCCTAGCAACAACCATTTGATTGCATTATCTCTGAGAATAGTTAGCAATTATCCATTTGATTGCATTATCCCAGGTTAAGGGGGTTGTGTGTGGTTCCATATCACCAGATTTTAAAAACTCTACGTCAGGCTAAACAGTTTAGGCTAGATAGTGGTGGCTGCTTGGATTATTTCTTTGTCTCTTATTGACTTCGGGTGGCTAACCTCTATAAAATTGAGGACACCAATAGACTTTGTACTAAGGTTAGGTTAAACAGACACTTTTGTTGTAATGGAGGATTTCGCCATCGGGGAGCGTGACGAAACCTCCGGCGAAAGTAGTGGTTAGGTTAGGCGGCCCGGTAGTGGTTGGTTAGTTGCCTGTATTATTATTATTATATAAAATTTAAGGTCCCCCGTTAGACTTTACCACGGTCAGGCTAAACAGTTTAGGCTGCTTGGATTATTTCCTTGTCTCTTATTGACTTCGGGTGGCTAACCTCTATAAAATTGAGGACACCAATAGACTTTGTACTAAGGTTAGGTTAAACAGACACTTTGCTGTAATGGAGGATTTCGCCATCGGGGGGAGCGTGACGAAACTCTCCGGCGAAAGTGGTAGTGGTTAGGTTAGGCGTCTTCGTAGTGGTTGGTTAGTTTACCATTATTATTATTATTATATAAAATTTAAGGTCCCCCGTTAGACTTTACCACGGTCAGGCTAAACAGTTTAGGCTGCTGATTATTTCCTTGTTCCTTATTGACTTCTTTCGGGTGGCTAACCTCTATAAAATTATACACCAATGACTTTGTACCTAAGGTTAGGTTAAACAGACACTTTTGTTGCATGGAGGATTTCTGGGGGAGTGACGAAACCTCCCGCGAAAGTAGCTTAGTGGCCCGTAGTGTTAGGTAGTTGCTCGTATTATTATTGCTTGTTAAAATTTAAGGTCCCCGTTAGACTTTACCACGGTCAGGCTAAACAGTTTAGGCTGCTTGGATTTATTTCTTTGTCTCTTATTGACTTCTGGTGGCTAACTCTATAAAATTGAGGACACCAATATCTTGTACTAAGGTTAGGTTAAACACACTTTTGCTAATGGAGGATTTCTGCCATCGGGAGCGTGACGAACTCCGGCGAGTAGTGAGCAGTTAGTGCCCGGTAGTGAAGGTTAGTTGCCTGTATTATTATTATTCTATAAAATTTAAGGTCCCCCGTTAGACTTACCACGGTCAGGCTAAACAGTTTAGGCTGCTTTGGATTATTTCTTTGTCTCTTATTGACTTTCGCGGCTAACCTCTATGTGGAGGACACCAATAGACTTTGTACTAAGGTTAGGTTAAACAGACACTTTGCTGTAATGAGTGATTTCGCCATCGGGGAGCGTGGACGAAACCTCCGGCGAAAGTAGTGGTTAGTTAGGCGGCCCGGTAGTGGTTGGTTAGTTGCCTGTATTATTATTATTCTATAAAATTTAAGGTCCCCTGTTAGAATTTACCACGGTCAGGCTAGATAGTGGTGGCTGCTTGGATTATTTCTTTGTCTCTTATTGACTTCGGGTGGCTAACCTCTATAAAATTGAGGACACCAATAGACTTTGTACTAAGGTTAGGTTAAACAGACACTTTTGCTGTAATGGAGGATTTCGCCATCGGGGAGCGTGACGAAACCTCCGGCGAAAGTAGTGGTGGTGGCTGCCTGTATATCTCTAT